AAAAGTGACCAAACTAATTTCAGGTCTTTTCAACAACTCTCTGGGACTGTCTCTGATGGTAGGTAAATTCCTTAGCATTACTAGAGCTTTGCATTGAAATAAATGATTCCAGGAAAACCTAATATTCACTAACAGTTGGAACACAACAAGGGTGAAAAGGGAAATAGTCTATTGGGTTTTGGCTTTGTTCAAAATATATCCAGCTGGGCTTTTCCCTGGAAACCAGTGTTGTGTAGCACATCCTCTCCAAAGCATTATCAGTGTGTTCTTGGCATGGATAAGCAGCGAGATTAACAATTCTCAATTACCCTGGAATCAATTTATGCATCCCCAATTTATTGTAACGTCTGGTCATATAGTGCAATTAAATCTGCAAAATGCTTGTAGGATTTTATAGGCAGGATGAAAATCACTTTTACCTTTATTCCAGTGTGATTTGCAAGTCGATTACAATGTATGTTTTGTATATGGGAGCAGCTGTGTAAATGGGGCTGGTAATTCTCTAGCGTATCTCTTCATGCTCAGTAGCTTGCCCAGTTAGAACATGTTCCTAGCATCTGTGGTTTTCAAACACTCACTCATAAGAATCCAGCTGTAGGAGTATTTTGGGACAGTGAACTTTACTCTTTTGCTCAATGTTGTCTTAGCATCTGTACAGCTCATCAGAGGCCTCTTGATGGTATAGGCGCTACCCACAGTTATTGCTCCACTTTTTTTTCTTTTTTTTTTTTTTTACTCATGTAACAGTGAGACAGAACTAGTCTTTCTGCTTCCTTTAGAAGCCTGGAATTTGTTGCAGTTGTCTACTCCTGATTTCCATTCAGTAAGTTTTGTATTATCAGGGAACGTTATGCAAATTGCAGATAAGCCTGGCTGGTGCTCATGGCACCATTTGTTAGCTTAGGTGCAACACTGTGGGAAATTGGCTCTAAAAGCAGGATAATCACTGAATTTACATGTCAGTGTGCCCCAAGCTAATGGTTACAAAGCTGTCATTATAACCTTCACTTGTTGTAGTATTAATTTACCATATCTTGAAATCTTGGGTTCCCAAATCACCTGTGCTAAGGTACTGCACCCTAAGGGAGAATTTTATTCTTTCCTTTTTTCACTCTTTCTTGAAGTTGCTATGCCTTTCAGGCTTCTGGGAGACTGTGAGTACTTAGGTTTCTTCATCAGGCCTCATTTTTCTAATAGGGGATATGTTCTGGCTTAAATCAATAGGAATGAAGCTGTTTATGGTTTCTTAGCTTCACGTTCATATGAATTCAAACGAAAGAACATGCTGGTTTTGCTCCCTCCTTTTGAAGCTGTATAACCTTTGCAGTTGTTTGACCATGCTTAACTCTGAAGATTGCTCAAAGAATCAACTCGCTCATAGAATGTTTTTCCTCCAAATGAAGCTGTTCCATCTCAGGCTTGATATTCTTAGTCTGTTATGACTAGAAATATTGGATCTGAAATGGGATGATAACTTGATGGAAAAATAACAATAAACACTGAAGGTCATTTAAAGGTGACAATGTTCACTTCCAGCAATAGGGCACTGTTGCAGCACAGCACTGTGGCTGCATGTGCCAAAAATTTGAAATGGATTTTGTCCCACTTCCCTTCCCAAATGTTTTTTCTTGGTTCAGAGATTGAAAATGTTTAATTTCCCTTTTGGGTGTAGTGTCCTCTCTACTCTCCATATGAAATGCCACATTGTAGAAAGATGGGGAAAAACAACCAACCAAAGAACAGCCAGCCCCCAGGCCAGTCAGACAAACCATCTGGTCCTGGAAGCCATTTCCAAAAGAGGACTCTCAGACTGAGTGTCAGTAGCAGTGTATAAAGCATAATATCCTTTCCACTTCTCTTTGTGTTCTCAGATGCATGGGTTATGAGAACCCCTTGGTAGGGCAAAGATTACTGAGGAAATGGACAATCCAATTTTGATTTATGCCAGGAGAACAGTTCTTGCTTGTCCTACTCCGAGGAATTCTCTCCTAAGAGCTAGCTGAGGGTGGTTTATTAGGGGTGGGTAGGATGGACAACAGAGGGATTGTCATTAAGCTGATACATCACTGAGAGCCCTTTGCTATAATTTTACAGCTTGGTACTCCCAAAAACTAAGGCTAGTGTCCTGTATTAGACTTTACTTCCCTTACCCATAATTTGTTCCTTGAATTCTTGTTGACTTTAAAGACACTTTGTTTGCTTATCATAATCTACTTGGTTCAGAGAACTTCTCTGCTTCACAGTTAAATAACTAAACTCAGTTATACTTTTGGCTTGTAAGGTCATACTTGCATTATGTATCTCTGTGATGTCAGCTTGTTGTGGGTCATTGTCTTTATCTCATCAGCTGAGCTTGTTACTCTTCCTGCTTTGTCAGCTTGTGTTTCAAAAGAAAATGTACTATCTGATAAGTAATCTGAGGAGAGATTGGATTGTATCGGCCCAGGCGTAATGAGTTGGTACAACGACTCATTTCCAGCCTCTGCTCCTAACCAAGAGCCTTGTCTAAAATCTTAGTTGTTTCCTGGGTCACATAGTTTGTGTGCTTGAATAACTACTGCAAAGCTGAAATCTCACACAGAGGTGATCAGGAAGAGTTGAAAATGCTTTAAAAGGATCTCAGCAGGTTATAATTAAACATAAATTTGACTTGATGATCTTAAAGCTCTTTTGAAACCTATTGATTCTGTAACAAGTACAGGTCCCTAAAGTGTTGATCTTCTAATGTGCCAGTTTGTTTTTTGATCTTCTCACTTCCCCCAGCCCTTTACAAATAATTAGCAGAAGGTTTCAGACACTTGAAAATAATTATTTTGATTTTGTGTCATGAGTTAGGATCTTCTTAGTGTATTGCTACAGGTACTTACATGTGTCACCGCTTTGTAACACAGTACAGTAGCTATGCAACTTTTCACGTGTATGAAGGAAGTTCTTGAATACACTTGTCAGTACTGACATGTTTTTCTCCATTGTACAAGTGAACAGTTTGTTAGTGATTCAGCCTTGAAATCCACTTTCTGCCTGGATCAACATGAGACGCTGAAGTTGAGAAAGTAGAGCTGAGTAGCTACTTCAGAAAACCAATTATTTTTTAGTGGATTACAGCTTTGTATCAGCTGACCTACTGCCCTTGTTAACATCTCTTGACAAAGAGCCTTCAGAGAAGACCTGGCACATTTGAAATAATGCAAAGCTATACTTAAGTAGGAACATGGAAGAAATAGTTGCCCTTCTATGCATCTTGGCTCATAGGAATCTTGTTTCCACTCTCTGTCCTTGCTTAGTAAAGACATATTTGTGATTCCCTGGAGGAGTGATCACTAGCTAAATATAATTTGTTTTCCGTCATTGAAATAATGGAAATTAATATTTTTGTGCCTTTTTGGCATGTCATTATGCACAGGCAAATCAGAAGAAGGCTTATGTGCAACTGTGCCTGCTTAAAAGTTGGCACTGTTGGGCTCCATCTCTCCTGTGCAGCTGCTGGTAGGAGGATGCAAAGAGACCTAGATGGTTCCTTTACTCCAAACTGAAAAAAACAAAGTTGTCAAATCATTAAAATAGGAAAGTAAAGAAAAAGTATTCTTCCTGTAGTTAAATATTGTAACTAAAGAGCTTGTCAGTGCTCATTTGTTTGAGTTGTTAGTAAAAAGTTGGCATAAATGCCCCTAGTTTTGCTTCAGTGGTACAACTGTCAGGCACTGTAACACTTGATCAGACAGATATTCTGTCTTGCTTATTCTGTCAACAAAAATAAAATGCCCCTCACCATGTTTGTGTTTCTTTTGTGAAAAACAGGAAGAAACTCTATGCTGGCTCTTTGTCATAAATTCTACCTTTTGCTTGTGTAGATTATTAAAAAGGCTTCCCCCCACCCCCTAATAGTAGCAAATAAATCATGCATTCTTATCACAACTGAATGTCAAACTTCCTTTTAATTGCATAGTAATAAGGAAATCTCATGACTTTGGAGCATTTTAAGTAGGCCAGAAAAAATGTTCTTAAATGTTCAGATGTCCTTGTTGTCGCAGTTAGTTTGGCATTCCTGTGTGTTATCCATTCAAGGCAGTTAGTCACTTTTCCTGAAAAACGTTGGAAGGGAAGCTAGATTTCAGGAAATATTCAGAGAAATCCCGTGGGATTTAAGTGCTGATAAGCTGTGCAGAAGAGGGGCGCTGTAATGTAGCTTACTAGCTTGGATTCAGAGCAAGAAATTGTGTAAAGCTGTAATGATAATCTCTATAATAATGCTAGTGATGCTATATTAAATGTGTTTCTTATGAACAGTATAAAATATGGAAGACTACCGCAGTTTTCAAATTATTTGTATATTCAGTTGAGCAGTGCATGCTGTTTGGTGCCAGAAAGCAATTGCATGTTCCCTTGCTTTGCTTAACTTTGAAGGCTGAATACAAATCTCTTGTAAAGATGATATGCCCATCCATTTCACAAAGGGGTTATTGTATGTTTGAGAGATGTTCTGCTCACCTACCAAGACAGCCAAGATATTTCAAGTCCAAGGTTTTAGCACTTCTTCTCCTATATGTTGGAATTCTTTGAGGCTTTCTAAATTGGAGCATGACTGAATGACATGATTATTTTTTCTACTTGTAGCTGAGAGCTTTAAGATTCTATGAGCTACTTAAGTTATATACAGAAAAATATGTGCTATTGAGGAAATTTTGGGGATATAGTAGATTTGCACATTGGAAAAGTTTGGAAATCACACCTAACATGGATTTTGCACAAGCAGATGAATTTTCAGGTTTCCTGCCATCTCACTTTCAAATAATTTTGCACTGGCACAGATTTCCAAGATTAAAACACCTTGGGTGGAATTGGTTTCAGGGCTTGTGATGAAAAACTCTGACTTTTCCTGGAGTTTTCTCCCACCCCCCCGTTTTTTTTCCCCTGTAAATTACACCTGACTGACAGAAATAATTTAACCCTTCTTACTCCTACTTTGTTATAATATGTATTTTCATTTTTATGTGTTTCAGGACTTTGTCCCATTGTACCAGGACTTTGAAAATTTCTACACCAGAAACCTCTATATGCGCATTCGGGACAGCTGGAACCGTCCAATCTGCAGTGTGCCAGGGGCCAGAGTGGACATGATGGAGAGAGTTTCCCATGACTACAACTGGACGTTCACGTGAGTCAAAATTGAAGAAAAGGCTTGAAGCAGAGGGCCTGTAAGAGCAAGTTGCAGTCTCTGTGGTTAAAGGAGCAGTGAATCGTGTTTGTTTTAAACTTTCCACTGGCTTGAATCAATGAATTTTGCTCTTCTGAAACACATCTGGCCGCCAAGATGTTTTTTTTGTGTATAATCTTTTGGCTACTTACTAAGGCTCCTGACTGCCCATGTCATGGGCATACACCTGTAATAAAATCAGTACTTTGGTGTGTGATGACCAGAACCCAAGTAGATACTTTGAATTGCACTGTTACTTGTAAATTTGTGTTAATTTAGGATGAGTCCTAACACTTGAAGTAAATATTGCTGCTAGAAACTGAATTTAACTCAATTGCTTTGAATCAGAACTGAAGTAGCCTGTCGAAACCAAATCAGAAATGCACTGACAAGGATTTTTACAAATTGGAAATGACGTATTACAAGTTAGATGTAAAGAGGTTTTCAGCACTGTATTTGGTGAAACTCCTTATGTCTCGACTTGCCTTTCAAGTGCAAAATAATTAGAACTTTTTTCTACTAAACTTCTTCCTTAATCTCCTTGTCACGTACTGTTAGCACAGCAGTGTCAGATGTGTTTCCTTTCTGTGGTTAGAGGATATCCTGCTTGAGGGGGTGCCAAGTTAATTGATACAGAGATCTTACTTTGTTATTGAAAAGTAAGTTGTATGTTTCTGGAATGGAGGGGGTTTGTCAGTTGTTGTTTGAGAAGCCTCAGGCAATTTTCCCCACGATCACAAATTCACCTTTAAGGAAGACTCTTCTGGGAGCTAGTTTGAGACCATAAGATAGGGGAAGCATCTCTTTCACTGATTGTTTCAGTCTGATGAGAGGCAGTACTGAAATAATTTAATCCTTGGTTCTATTGATTTTTAACATTTCAGTGTATGTTCTAGGAAACTGAAATAAGAATCTTCCAGTGTAGAATTTTTTAATCATGAGTGGCCTGACCTGTGGTGTCCTTAAAATACAGGTACACAGGGAGAGTGATAAAGGACATCATTAATATGGGTTCCTACAACTACCTTGGATTTGCACAGAATGCTGGGACTTGCCAAGAAGCAGCAGCTAAAGTTCTGTCCCAGTATGGAGCTGGCGTGTGCAGCACTAGGCAGGAGATGGGTAAGTTGGAGCAGAAAAGGATGTTCCCTGATTGTCTGTAATCTGATTGCAGGTCTTTGAAACATTACTTGTTCCAGCTTTTGAACTCGAGACTAATCAATAAAATGGCTTTTACTTTATTGACTTGCTGGCTTTAGTTTACATGGCACAGCAGCTGGCTCTCTTAAATTTTCTTCCATCCCTGACTCCTCCCGCCCACCTGTATTCTCTTGTGGGCCCTTTATTTAAAGAGCAGTAGGGCTGGTGGAAATTCTTCTTGTAGATTATAGCAACAATGAAAGCTTCTCACTCCTGAGTTTCTCATTTGTTTTATGTGCAGGAAACTTGGACAAACATGAGGAGCTGGAAAAGCTAGTTGCCAGGTTCCTAGGTGTGGAATCTGCAATGGCATATGGAATGGGGTTTGCAACCAACTCCATGAACATTCCTGCTTTAGTTGGCAAGGTATGGCTTAAGTCACTGGCAAAAGCTTATCTAAGAAAGACTCTGCTGGTTGGATTTTTCTAAAAGCTGCTTGTTTGGTTTTGTTTTTCTTCAGTGGCAACCCCTGCAGATACTATCTATGGAAACTGTAGATCACAGTATGAATCTCTAACCTTTACAAAAATCTTTCTGGGAAGTAGCATTGTGGGACCAGTAGCAGTCCAGATCTTGCTCTTTTTCTGGGAGAGAGCCTAGCATGTTAAGGCTTGCTTCCTCAGGCTACTCATTAGTATATGAAATGGTGGCTGATGAACAGACTGATTGGCTGAAGGTATTTTGATGCTCTTGAGACACTAAGAAATGTGTCAGTGAGACACAGAGATAAGATGGATTGCATGTTGGTGCATACAGAATTTATTATCTTTGACAGCTGAAAAATCCTTTCTCTGAAGGACCAAAATCCTAGTAGAAAAACTGTTTGAGAGAAACAAGGTCAGATTTAAAGACTGATGATGTCTATGTGCTCCATAGAGTTATGGAATGGTTTCGGTTTTAAGCGACCTTAAAGATTATCTAGTTTCAACTCCCCTGCCATCAGCAGGGACACCGTCCTCTAGACCAGGTTACTCAAAGCCCTGTCCAACCTGGCCTTGAACACTGCCAGGGATGGGGCAGCTGCAGCTTCTCTGGGCAACGTCTTCCAGGGCCTCACCAGCCTCATAGTGAAGAATGTCTTCCTAATATCTAATCAGAATTTACCCCCTTGCAGTTTAAAGCCATTCCGCATTGTCCTGTAACTACCATGCCCATGTTAAAAGTCCCTCTCCAGCTTTCTTGTCCCCACTTGGTACTTGGAAGGCTGCTATAAGGTCTCCCTGGAACCTTTTCTTCTCCAGGCTGAACAAACCCAACCCTTTCAGCCTGTCTTCATTGGAGAGGTGCTCCAGCCCTCTGATCATCTTTGTGGCCCTCCTCTGGACCCAATCCAACAGCTTCACATCCTTCTAATGTTGGAGGCCCCAGAACTGAACACAGTGCTCCAGGTGGGCTCTCATTAGAGTGGAGTAGAGGGGGAGAATCACTTTCTTCAACCTGCTGGTCATATTTTTTTCTGATGCAACCCAGGATATGGTTTGATTTCTGGGCTGCAATTGCACATTGCCATAAAACAGTACACTAAGCAGCCTGACTGTCCTGCACCTCAGACTATGGGGTTTGTAGCTATTGGAGGATGAAGTGGAGAGAGCTCTTTGTTTATATTTTCTGCAAAGTATGTGTTATCATATGTGTTCTCATAGCTTCTACTTGAGAGCAGAATAGGGTGAGTAAATGATTTTTCCTCTTTTGAAAATGATTCACTGTTAACCTAGGCTACTAGCCTATTGCAACTCTTTGTCCCTGTGTAGTGAATTATTTTCCCTTTATTCCATTTATTTATTTTCCCACTTCCTGTGATCACTTTGTAAATTCTTCAACTTGTGATATGTACAGATTATAAAATTGCTGCCTTGTTCTTCCTGGCAACTTTTCCTGGTGGATCTCTTCTTGACTAGCTGTAGTGTCTTACCACATGCTATTTTATTTGTAACTGAAGCAGCACTGTTTACATATTGCCTTTTTGCATTTGGTCTATTAATTTTCAAATATCAAATGCTTTCCATAATGAAAGGTGTTTGAGTCTGATGCCAGAGAGAAATTCATTGTATGAGGATCACACTTTATGTATTTATTACCTTCTGAGAATACCCTTGAGATGCCTTACTCGGCTCCTTAGTTTTCACATTTGAACTTTTAACAGGTTTTACAGCCATTTGAGAGATTCTGAACTGTAAATACCAAGGCATGTAACATACCTGTTTTCATGCATGTTAACTTGCATGTTTACAAAACTAACTCTTTTCATAGATGGGTACAGCAGCCTATACTATCTTAGTAATGAGCATACTTGGTTTTGGTGCGCTTAAATAGTAAGAAGCTTCTGCCTCATAACACTAGAAGTGCCCTTATATTGGGTTGAATACTCCAAACAGAAAATGCACAATGACAAGAAGAGTTCTTGTCAGAACCACCACTTAGCAGTTCAGAACATTCACTAAATAGTTGGGTTTGTTTTTTTTTTTTTGGGTGCCTGAGGTTGCTTCTCACTGCACTTCTGATTTCTTCTTTGTCTGCAAATAAGGACTTGCATAAATCCTGAGTTCTGGCACCACTCAGTACACAATTGTCTGCATGTGCAGTCTGTTTGGCAATGATTGGTCAGTTCCTTAGTAAAGCCCAGAGACTCCCATGCTTGATGAAACTCTTGGGCTGTCTTTTTTTTTTTTCTTTTTTTTTTGGGGGGGGGGGGGGGGGGGAGGGGGGTTGGTGGTTTTATTTTATTACTTTTTGTCTCTCTGCATGTCCTATATATATTTTCAAATGCAAAGGTGAAAGGTGCTTGGAACATGAATTTTTCTTAAGTTTGTCAAATGTAATGGCATCTGCATTTGGCCAGAAGGAATTTCTTTGACAGTCACTGATAAGATCTAATGCTAATCATTATTTACATCTTATCTGGGTACCTATATTGCAACTTGATTAGTTTAAAACTGAAACCACTGAAATAAAATTACTCACGTATATGTAGTACTGGACCACCTGTTCTGTTTTTGCTCTGTGGAATCCTTGAGCATTTTGTTTATGTTGCTACTGAATCCTCTTTTAATAGCAGCAAATATGACTTGACTATCCTAGGATCCAACTGTACCCCATAATCTGATCAACAGTTGTCAGCAAAGGAATTCAAAAGCTTCATCAACATTACCTAGTTGATCTTTATTCATTATCCCTTGTTAACAGCAGCCTCTGCTGAGCTGATGCTGGAAACAGGTATGGTTGGTGTACACTGAAAGGTGTATTTCAAACTGTTAAAGCATTACTAAAACCAGGTCTTTCTGCACCTGACAGTTTTCAGCAGGAAAGACCAACTGTTGGCAGCTAAGTTGTTGGCTGCCAAGTATGCTGAGTCTGGACCACAGATAATGTGATTTGAGGATTACTATTTCAGGCTTAGACTCTGAAACTTGCCTGTTTTGAAGTAAGTGTCATAAATGTAGTTACTGTAACTAGCTAATAACAGTATTCTGTACTGCCTTTAGCACAGAGCTTTTCAGCATGGCTCTGGACTGACAGAGGCTAGATAATGGATTTAGAGCAATGGAGCTTGAAGGATGTAAGAAAACTAATTTCCATGTATAGTTAGTTTGTGAAATTACACAATTTGTGTATGTGGCACTCTGGTAAAATGTGGCATTCACTTCAGTTTCTGTGTCTGCTCTGTGGAATGAATTGGTAAATCTGATCTTCACTGACATGATTTTCTCTATACCAGTAGTGTGATCTCCAGTTAGTGTTGGCGGTCTTGTCACAAATGTAAGTTTGCTGATAAATGCAACTGAAGTCTTACCATTGTAGTAGCAGCACTCAGTTACATATGATCATCAGTACTGTACTGTATCAGTGGCTTCTTTGATCCTTTTCCCTCTCTCTAGCAGCAGATGATACTAGACTCTTCATCTTAAGTTTTAAATTAATTTTTGTCTAATTCAATGTCCTCTTCTGTTATAGGGGGTGCAAAGTGGCTGCTTAGTGATTTGTTAAATCTCTTTTCTTTACCAAGAGCTCATGATTGTTTTTACAGGAAAGGTCCTTGTAGGCTATTAATGTTTTCCTCTTTTTTAAATCTATCACTCTTTCTACTTCCATGTAAGAATGGTTCTAGTACTGGATTGTTCAGGTTTTGTTAAGGTAGTATTTAACAGCAGTGCCCTCTGACATAGTATACATACTCATTGTCCGCTGTAGTAGCTCCAAAGAGCAAATGCTAGTTGGAAATTTCCGTGCTCCTTATGTCAAAGCCTGTGAAATACAGACGGTAACAGCGTTTTGAGCACTTGAGATTTAGTGCAGTTTCTGGCGAAAACCAGTCTTGAGCTTTCCCGGGATGCAGCATATTTCTAGGTACATTGCAGTTGCAGTGCAAAACTTTCTTTATTGCAGAGAAGATACTCCTATTGTCTGTGACACCTACTTGTGTAACTGTAGGCAGTGCTTTTTACAGTCCTTTCTCGTAAATCTCATTGCAGAGATGTTCTTGACTCTTCCCTCCACCAGTTGTTAATAGAGAAACATAGAATGAGCTTGTGTTTTAGTGTCAAACCTTCAGCATTTCAACATGCTTTTGGACTTTTAACTTAGTCACTTCTAGAGCTGCAGCAGATTTGCATAGTAATTGCCAAGGTTGCTTAGAAATATTATTGCTCCCTTACAAGCTAATCCCCCAATATTAATTCCGATAGTCCACAGTGATAACTGAATGCTCAGTGTATCAGCTGTTGACCTGTAGTCATTGCTGCTCTCAGAACAGACATAGCCTGTGTTGATATTCTGTCCAGGGATTTATCTTCCCTTTTTTCAAAAGGCAAATAAATTCAATGTAATGTTTAATAGCCTCAGAAAACAACTCTATTTCACTCTGCAATCTTGTTCTCCACTTCCTGTCTCTTGTATGTTACCTCTGTCTACAAAGTACTTAAGAATTCTGTTTGTTACAGCAAAATAGTTCCATTCGTCCCATGGAGCACACATGGGTTTAGTCAATGGTTACCTCCTAATGTAAGAAATAGGGCAACTTTTATAAGGTCTTTTAATCTAGGGCTTTGGTGGCCTGTTTCTTAGCAGCACTGTAGGCTTGCTGAGTGAACTGCAGCAAGCTGCTCTGCCTTCTCTTTCCCCTGGCTGCATAGGAGGATGAGTACTAATTGCCAACATGAGATATTCAGGTAGACTCAGCTGCAGAACTTCTGGGAAGAGTGAAACTTAAATGGTTCTTTCAGTTAACAGCAGTTGTGTGTTTTTATTTGCCATACTGCAGCTGCAGACTTTTTCTTAGCAAGTCTTGCCTGGGCTAGCTGCATTTATATTGGAATTTTTTTTCTTTCTTTAGATGATATCTAAGCAGTTCACAGCTGCGAGGTGGTATATGCTTGGCTGTGAAACATAACCTTTTCAATATCTTCTTTCCCCTTCTAATTCAGGGCTGTCTGATTTTGAGTGATGAACTGAATCATGCATCACTAGTGCTTGGAGCAAGACTGTCAGGAGCAACTATTCGAATCTTTAAGCACAACAGTAAGTATCAGATGGTGGACTGTGCCTTTCTGCCGGTGCTGTAGATCAGATACGATCTCTTCTAATAGTTGGAAATCCAATTTCATGCAAGAAGATCAGTTGCTGGCTACCTGAAAGGTCAGCAGACTGCTGCTACTGAGAATTTAATCATCTGGAATTGGATGGTTTTTAAATGTTCAGTCTTGGCTAATAACACTTTTATCCTGAAGCTGTTCTGGCCTACATCTTGTGTATATGAAGCGGAACATGCTGTCCATTTGCAAAGTCTAGGGGAGCTAGTGTTTTAACATGGCTTCTTGTTACTTGCATAGCTCAGCATGGTTAGACTAACAGTCTGTCTCACATAATAATGCAATCTTGTAGTGATCTAGGTTGCAGCTTGGACAATAAGAAAGTTTAATTTTAGGACTAGATGCTGACATGTTTCAAAGTAACAAAAGCTTACCAGCTTAGATGTCCTGGCTAAGACAGCCACGCATTGGTACAATGTAATACAAAAGGAATTTTGTGGATATGAAGCATAGATTAATTTTGCCAAATTACTTGTTGTAATTACTTATTTCCAAAATAATACAGAATTTTCATTTTGCTAGTTTCTGCTTCCTCCAGAGGAGTTGTTTAGAATAACTTTCAAATTAAAAATGCTTAGGGTTTCTTTCTCTTACTGCTTCCACTGAGAATACCTGGTTGACCTTGATTAGTAAAGTCACTATCTTCATTCTTCAGCTGCTCCTAATACTCTTTGTAGTATCAGTCCCCAAGATCATGGTGACTCTTGCTGTCTTTGAAGTGTGTGGCAGTGACAAAGCTTGGGTGGCTGCAATTGTTTTCCTTTCTTTGCCCTACTTGATAGAGGCTCCTCTGGTCTGCTTACTGTTTCTTTTATGTTCTCTTTCTTGTTCTCTATTGTTTGATTAATTTTTTTTTTTACAGAAGTATAGACCTCACTGTAACATTCGGTGATTTTTATTATTATTAGTCTGTTTTTCTTAATTCTTCATAAATCTTGATGGGCAAGATCACAAAAGCTTTGCATTAAATTTCTGCATTACTTTAGATACGCTTCTGAACATTGCATCCAGTTCCAGACTTTCAGGGAACACTGGTGACAGATACACCTTTAGCTGTGAGAAGATCGTAAGGACTCAGGTGTGATGAGGAAGAAGAAACAATTTATTGGAATGGGGTGCAGACTATCAGTGATGAGATGAGGGGATATTCTAGAAACCTTATAGATGGTGGAGATCTCTGAAAGGGAATAGAGTGGTAGGTTAGAATCAGAAGGCAAAACGCAAGCAATGATCTTGGCTTGTCAAGATGATACTCAGTTCATAGTTACATATGTGTTTGCAGTTCTACTCTTGTTATAGTGTTTGCTGCTTTAGTTAACTTCATTTTCCTGAGATGTTAATGGCTTCATATTCTGGTTTTTAGAACTGGGGGGGGGGAATTAAAATCCCCCTTCAGTTCATTGTTCAATGTTTCCATATTTTTCCTGCTTCATTCTGCAGTTTATCCTTTTTACTAAGATCAGACCTGGTTCCCATCTTTCCATCTTCAGACATGAGAGCAGAAGTTTATATTTCATCATTCTCCCCAGTTGCACTAAACTTGTCCTTTCTCCCTTGAGAGGCAGGGGGATTCCACTGCCTCTTTGTCTTTTTTTTGAACATCAGCTGTCTTTTAACAGTCTGTTAACTGACCTACTTTGCTGTATAATTTCTAGTCTAGTTCTAGTTCACAAGCTCCTCTCACTGCTACAACTGCCCTGCCCTACCAATCTTCTTTTCATGATTGATTGTAGGTTTTTTCATACCATAGTGTTTACATGTCTCTTGCTCAGCACTTCAGCTTTTATGGTTTGATTACTCACATCTCCACTCCTTTCCTCAGGTCATTTGTTTTTTAAGGGCTGATTTCATGTGTATTTATTTGCTCATACTAGTCAGGGTTCCTGGGATCAGTGTTTGTGGCCAAAGGTAGTAAGGTTTCAGAATACATTGCTACTAGCAACTTCATCTGTCTAGTTTCTGATATGCCAGGCACTGTTCTCTTCCCTACACTGGTGGTTCTTTTTTTTTTTTTTTTTTTTTTTTTGGTTGGTTGGTAGCTTCCTGTTTCATGCCCCCAGTCCCGTCAGTTTTGAACAAAGTAATAAAAAAGTGCACTTGCTCCCCTTCTTGTTCTGTGCTGCGGTTTATCTTCTGCTTACCTTTAGTTGATCCTTGAGCTTCCTTGCTGTTTTTTGAGTTATTTCTGTCCACAAGGACATGCTTACTACCTTTCTTTCTCCCCCCCCCCTTTTCCCCTGTTTTCTATTTGTGCCTAATGCTCTAACTTCTGCTTTTAGCTTAGTATGATGAAATTTTTCCTCAGAGTTCATACAGTCACCCATTCCCTTTAATCTCATCTGTGGGCCCACAGCTAGATGGAGCCCACGCTTATTGACTTAGGTACAGTCTGTTCTCCACACTGGAGCAACTTGTGCGTTTTTGGCATATTCTTTAGCCATGTCAAAACTCAAGCTAGTAGCTGTTTTGATACCATTTAACAGTAATTTCTGGTGCAGATATGCAAAGCCTGGAGAAGCTGCTCAAAGATGCTATTGTGCATGGGCAACCTCGTACACGGAGGCCCTGGAAAAAAATTCTTATCTTGGTGGAAGGAATATACAGGTACAAACTATTCTTTGTATTCCTAGGACCCTCCACATGAGATCTAGCTGCTCAGTATTTGGGTTCCTTTGCCAGGTCACTCTATGAATATTGTCACTTCATAGCTACTGTGTTAATCTCATCTGGGAATTAAATTGCGCTATGAATGTCTCGCATCCTGGACTTTCTGTTGCTAGTACTGTACTGCACTGTGGGAAATACTGTGATAACTGGTGTTACCACAATACATCCCACATCTTGATTAGATGGTAAAAATTAATTAAACTGATTATTTACATCAGAGCTGAGGTCTTAAATTGTCCATTCCATTCTTTCTGTGCTCACTAGATAATGCTAGTGTGAATGGAATTGCACAAATTGAATGTTTCTGCTAAAAGTGAGAGCATGTAGTAGGCTTAGCTCTGTTAGACATTTAAATTATAGTATTAAATATTAATTTCAGCACTAAATGAGGCATTTTTGAGCGCTACTAATGAAAGCCTAGTCAGTTCTTAAAAACAACAGATGTCATCAGAATACTGACATTGGGGTGGAAGTAAAAATGAGATCATTTATAAAAATGTCACAGAGCAGATTCCTTTGCTTTAACTCACTGTTGCTGCTACTGCTTGGTCTATATGTCAGCATCCCAGAAGTGTTAAATAGGTTGAAGAATCTGGGCCCTGGGTGCAAGGAGGACCTTTCCTCTCTCTACAGAACATGATGCATCTAGCAAATTCTGTGTTCATAAGTACTGGAAGAGTGAAGAAAAGAAAGATTAGAGTCTTTAGGCTCTGTAAAGAGGCCCTAGCCATTAAATCAACTTACAGTGAATTTCTGTTTTTCAACAGTATGGAGGGATCCATAGTCCGTTTGCCTGAAGTGATTGCCCTTAAGAAGAAGTATAAATCCTATCTGTACCTTGATGAGGCTCATAGTATAGGTGCCCTGGGTCCCAGTGGCCGGGGTGTAGTGGACTATTTTGGACTCAATCCAGAAGATGTGGATATCATGATGGGAACATTCACCAAAAGTTTTGGAGCTGCTGGAGGATACATTGGGGGCAAGAAGGTAAAAATCTGGGAATCTCATGGCTGTTTCAGGCTGGTGGTGAAGTCCTTCACTAAGCGTTTCAAAATTTATCTGTTTCTCAAGTACCCTGATTGCCCATTTGTTTCATAATTTTACATACTGTCTAATACAGTGAAAGTTTGTGTATTGTAAAAGAGTCTAGTCTACTAAAGTACCTCATAATTTTAGAGTTCTCACATGGTCAGCAATGATCTCAGTTTACAGAAGGCATAGTATGCCTTCTTAGGAACAGTATAATTTCTTAGGAACTACTAGGAACCAGGAAGGCAGGGATTTCTTAATATTACTTTTAATGAGACTTGCAGGAGGAATGTCAAAAACTGGTATTTTTCATCCTCTTTGGAGAAAAATCCCCTTAGGTTAGTCTGGTAGAATTGATTCCCTCTGGACTTAAACAGTTTGCTTTCTAAAAAGACAATTCTTCCCTTTTTTGGTGGGGTGGGAGGAGGGTTATTTGTGAGTGTTTTGTTTTTTGCTGCTGACTCTCTTCTATTGTAAAGTACTGCCAAAGTGTTGCCCTTGCCAAACCCCTCCTTTTGGGACCAATGGTGTAGGCAATTGCATGTTTCCCCTTTCTCATATCCTCAAATGTACCTCACAGATCAGACTTCTAAGCTTATTTGAGAGTAAAATTCTATCATTTTCCTATCAGGGCAATAATTTTTAGATACTACTAGTGACTGTTACTTCAGCCCATCCGAATGAAGATGGGATTTGCAGATATTCCTCTGTAGGAGCTTACTACAGTTAGATTAAAATTACTCGGACATCTTCTAAAGAGAAAAACTACCATATTATTATCTTCTTCCAAAGGTACTGAGCTAGTGAGATTAACTCCCTTCGCATAAGGTGAAGCAGCTGAGAGTCCTCAGCTGGGTTTTACTACTGTTTGAGGAACTGCTTCAGAGGCAAGAGGTCTTAAATCTCTTGCCTAGTTTATTTCAAAGTCCCTTTACAACTTCCTTTCATTTCATTCTGACTCCACACAGATAGCAACATAAATGAGATAGTATGTTCCCAGCTTGTGCTGTCTATGGGGCCATCATTATTTTATGGTTGTAGAAGACAGAATCTGTCCTGGCATTCATGCTGGTGTTCATAATGTTTTGATGGAGTAGTCTGGGTATTTTAGAGTGGCTTTATTACAGTTAACAACAAACAGCCTAGATTTATTGTGTGTTGGTTCTTTGCTCCTGTATGATTTGCGTTTCCCCTCTAACAAATGTAGCGTGTTCACTGCCAAGTGCAGGAGAGGTAGGCCAAGGTTTTTTCACTCTTAAATTACACCCCCTGCTTTATTTATATTCTGCTGATAAATGGGAGAAGATATTTTGTGGCCTAGTCCCCTGTTTTGTGACTTGTAGGGAAATAATTATTTTGAACATGATACATAAGCATCTGTGGATTGTGCTCCCCACTGTCTCATTTGATTTTTACTTGCACTGTTATAAAAAACACTTTGGAAACACAGCGTGCTCACAGCTTGAGTAATGCAAACACCTTGTTGCAATCCAGTACTGGTGGTGTTAGCTAAACAAGTCTGTTCTAGGCATTTGTCCCTGATCAGTGAACATTCTTGCCAGGTGACATAATTATGGGTTGTTACTTCCCTGCTGTTTGTTTTTCAACTCTTTATTACTTGTACTGTAAAACTAATCTTTTGAGATATCTGTTCTCTCCTATGACATTCTGAAAGAGATTTCCTGTGGTGGCCCGTTTTATTGTGTGATTAAGACATGACAATAAAGCATTTCTGAGACTGCTTGAAAGGCAATGTCTGATGCCTCTTGTGTTTTGTTAGGAGCTGATTGATTACCTCAGAACATACTCTCACAGTGCTGTGTATGCAACATCAATGTCACCTCCTGTTGTGGAGCAAATCATCACCTCTGTGAAGTGCATTATGGGTGAAGATGGTACAACTGTTGGTGAGTCTTTCTAACACTAAGCATGTGGAAGGGGAAGGCTAAACAGAGTTTGACATGTAACTCATTCAGTGGACGCATCCGTAATTGTCTGTTAGTACATGTAGACCTGGAATTTCTGGAGTAATAATCCAATTTACTAGTCTACTTGGCAGATGAGCCTAATAACATGAGAAATTTCCAGGCAGAGGTAAGTAATCTTAGTCTTAGATAAGATGTAGTATTGTCTTGTATTGATTTTTTTTTTGTTTTGTGTCTAACTCTTCTCCATGCTCTTCCCCATTCTGTCTTTTGTTATTTGCCCCCACTTTTTAGATGGCTTTCAGAGTATTTTGCTGTGTATCTTTTACAGTCTTGTGTGCTGGTGACTGCAGGGGCAATGCTTTTGATTTTAATCTTAGTATAATTTGATGCTGGCACCTCAGTTGAAGTAAATAAGGGAATGTTTCTTAAATCCCTTTTTACTTGGGGAGCTAGAGGCAGTTCTTAAGATCGGTAGAGTTAATGCACTAGAGGAAGATATTCAGCATATTTGTCTTTTTCAATATGAAAGTAAGAAATGGGAAATCTATACTAGTCTCAGTGCATTAAAAGAAGTAAAACCACAAATTCTCATGTCTAATTTGCCTAGTAGCTAGCAGCTTCTTTCAGTTATAGCATGAAGTAACTAACTTGGCACTTGTGGTATGTAATCTGCCTTGAAACTGAAATACTACAGCACTTTGTATGTAGGATACTTTTCACTCTTCACAGGTAATTAAAAAGTTGTGAGCAGCTCACATAAGGATGGTAGTGTAGTTTGCTGGGGGTCTGTCAGTGGCATTTAGTTCAGAAGCTCATACATAGAATTCAAACTGCTGAACAGTTACGGGAGTTTCAGGCATCCGGCCACGAGGTGGTGGTGTGGACTGAAGAACTGTATTTGCTTTTGAACATGGGTCATCTGACAGCTAACCTGACAGTGAAAAAGCTTGCTGGAGAAATTACTTAAGTTTTCTGTTCTAGCAGGTTTCATTCGGTTTGCTTACATTATCTGAGAACAGAGTTAAGTGCCAGCAATTGGTGTTGGTGGTTGCTCGACAGAGAGGTTATCACTGAGGCAAATACAGGTAGACAGCAGCTGTATCTGTTCTAGCACTGAGTGCTTCACGAGGTCTGTGTGAGATACCTGTGCCAGGCAAGAGTTGTCCCCACTGCTGGTCTCAAGAACAGATACTAGCAAAACTTCTGCTACATGAAAAGTTGTGCAGAACAGTTTTCCAGTCAGCTTAAAAATGACTGAGCTCTTTCTAGCTGATGATTTGCCAGCAGTCTGCGGTCTACTCAGGCATTGCTTGTTTTGGGTTTCTTCCAGGGTCTGTTTTGCTTAATGAAGCAGGAAGCAAGGAATGTGTAGCTGATTTCTGTTTGCAGTATTCAAACTCAGGCATTTTTGGGCCTTTTCTGAGGCTACAGCATGATATTTGTTCAAGCCTGGAGAATGGGCGCATATTCTACTCCAGACTGTTCTCCTGCAATTATGCCAACAAGATCCATCAGAGCTGAAAGGTGAACCAGATCAGGAACTAATTTGGCAAAAAAATAAACTCAAAAGGTCTTTTTTTTTTTTTTTTTTTTTTGGGTAATGTTGCTTAAAATGTGTGTCAGACTACATCCTGCTAATTTGGTGCTAAGCAGTATCAGAATTCATAGCCTCTATTTTTATTGATAAAAGAAGTAGCTTTGGTGTTTGAAAGCTGTGTCATTTCAAAAAAGCCTCTGTACGTACAATTTCTATACAAACCATAGCACTTTTTGGAAGTGCTGGATGTAATAGCTGGATAGACAAAGTCCTGTCCATTCATACCCAGGATTTCTCAGCTACAGGTCTTGTGAAAGTGTTAGATGCTTAGCGAGTACGTCAATCTTCAGCTAGAATAAATGCCTGATAGAATGATCTACATACTTCTCTGTTCATTTTCTGCACAATTTTCTGTTTCCCAGTCATGCATTTTTTTTAATTGCCTTAAGGCTTTAGAGATAATACTACTTTGTAGGCATTTCTGTGGATAAAGTTGGCAAAAGTTCAGTTGGGTGAATTGAGCAGCTGCTTAGTGATAGTATGACAAAGTTGGGTTTTTTTTTTCTTTGTTTAAAGCTATGGCTGAAAAACTAGCTTGTATTCTGTAGAATTATGGGTAAGGCTCTGGAGGGCCACTGCCAGCAGTTGGTTTGACTATGAGAAAATGTGGAGTAGAATGGTGCTGGTAAGAGTTGTTAACTGTGGAAGAGAAGTAGAGAAATAGGTTTAAACTGGGTCACTGGTAAACACCTCTGAATCAACTTTGTATTACAAAAATTTCACTGATTTTTTTTTCAAATTAGTGAAGCTGAACTAATGGATAAAGGAAAACTGAGATAGGGCGATGGGTTTAAAAGGGCACAGGACTTGGTGCTGGAATCAAAATAGTAGATGGCTAGCTCCCAACCCTGTTCTTTGGGCCACAGATAAATCTTGTAATGGCTTCAAGAGTGCTTTCTTGAAAAGAGCCTTTGTGGTTTCTTTGTCAGCCTGCTTCTATTGTTCACCACACACTATTTGTAAAAGCTGCTGTTCTCCATTGCATCAAACCTTTGTGGAAATTGTGCAGTCAGATTGAGATGATCTGTAGCTGAGGAGTAAGTAGTAGGAAGCAATTAGTTTTTGAGGACAAAAGGGATTTTTTTGTGTATTAATTTGCAAGAATAAGTTAATTCTCTCCTCTTCAGGTTATTTCTAAATCTAATGAAACATTTGGAGGCTCTAAACTTACAATACAAGGCATTGTAGTTACTAAAACTTTAAATAACCTTACATAACTAAAAAGTACATATCTCCTTTCAAATCTTTCCAGCAAGCTGCAAGTGACTAAATAGGATTTTTTAGTAGGAGGCAGCACAGACAAAATACAGATGCTATGAAAAGCTGAATGGATGCTTACAGAGAACATAAGATGGATAGCTTGCAAATGTGCTGCGTGAATTGGGACAGTGGTTTCTTGTATCTTGGTTTCTGTTCAAACTAATCTGTTAATTCTCTGTACTGTTTATGTATGTAAGTGACTAGCAAGCCTCAATCTCTCTGAAGACAGTTATGGGAATATAATTACATATGAATACAAGTATATTACTTGTTCCTTCATCCAGACTTCAAAAACGACTCCCAACAGCCAAAGCAATAGCAGAGCCATGTTATGAGTTCTTGGTAGTAATGCTTCCTGTACTGCTTCTGGAACTCCTCTGCATTATTTGTGCAATGCTGTATGTCTATCCTATTTTACTTTGCATTACTTGTTTTGCACATAATTGGCTAGAAGACCATCATGTGATCTTAAACCAAACATACTTGATTTGGATCACTTGAATTTTTTCAAAGGAACAGTTGTCTTCAAGTGGTGAACATCTTGAGCACATACAATGTCTTCAGAGAGCTCCAGTGACAATTACATGGGTATAGCACATATCATCACATTTGGCTGTGATATATAGAATAGCAAGGCAAGTAGGAGAAATGGGGAAGGCTTCTTTCAGCAAAAGCAAACTTTGGGGGCTGGTTTTCCTGTTCCAAGTCACCATGGTAGAAATTGTTAATGAGCAAGCATTGCAGATGGTTGTCAGCAGTTCAGTTGATGCTGCTTTTTCTGTTCAGCCACAAAGATGAATGAACTTCAGATATTTTAGTAGATAGAGGCTTTTTTTTAAACAACAATAATAGAAAGACACAATAAGCAGACTTTTGGGGGTCATAGTGTACACAAAGATGACAAATTGATTCCTGAAATGGGGTTCTGGAAACTTGTAGTGTACAGCCACTTGATTCTTGTTGTTAATGTGGTGTTTGGGTTATTTAAATTGACTGTGGGGAAAATGAGACAGCTTGGTGCTTGTCCTGGTAAATGAGGTATTCTTGGGATTTATGATATTGAGTACTTGACTGCCTTGGTGAATTTTTCAGCGTCAGTGATTCAGTTTGAGTTCGGTTCAGAATTCAGTTGAGTTTCTGGATTTTTCACTATTACGATCTTGCTAGGACTGGGAATCCAGTTGGCTTCTTTCCTTGCCATTTGCTTAAAAGCCAGTCGTATATCCTGTGCAACTGGAGTTCTGTTAGTACTGTTGGTGTTCAGGACCCAGCCTGTTTGTTACCCTGATAACATCACTGGGGGCAAGTGGAAGAATATCATAAAGTAACCCAAGTGAGACGTGGGCAAATCAAAACACGCAGTGAAACCAGTCTGGGGACTGGTTAACCTCCTTCAGAGATGAAACTTAATTTGCACTCCCATGTATTAAAAACTGAAGGGGAGCCACAAATCCTGGACTGTTTTAAGTTTGAACAAAAGCTAACAGTGTTAATTGCTTCTAAAAGATGTGAACTACTTCCTTTCATGGAGATTAACTCAGTAATTATACATGTTGATAAGAAGTTTACTCTCTTTCATCTCAGTTTCAGGAGGTGAATATCCCACACCCAATCACAGCACCATACATAGCATGTAAAGAATAAGTCATGAACATCATTGCTGAAGATGTCACTTAAGTTTTGGATGAACATTGTCTTGAACACTGTACAGAAATTGAAAATTATTATCCTACGTAACTCAAATGTCACAAGCAATAGAGGTGGTAATTGCATGGGCCATCCCAGCTGTTGAGCTGTTGGAAATGAATAACCTTTGAAGGCTAGTCAGTTAGCTGCACAACAGTTTGATTAGATTTTGTCTCATCTGAGCATCTCGGTTGTGAAGAGCTAGGTTTTCTGATCTTGCCATTGCAGTGTGCAACAAACTTCAGTCAGTTAAATCAGAAAAGGTAGTTAAACCCATTATAGCCAAAGGGAATAAGGGCATACACCTGTGTTGGCAGAGAACTGAGCCTGAGCTGTTGAGAAGACAGGACCATTGCCATACTGTTAATGTGCACAGGGAGAAGCATGCTGGTAACAAAACTAAGCCTGGTCTGCTTAAATTGTAGGGGAGAAAAGA